GATGGACAATTAAATAACTCACTGGATGAAGAGGCTCCATAAATATCTCTATCCTCAAAAAGGGACACGCACTGCACATCATTGCAAAAGGTAAGGCTGAAGCTCTCACAGTAATCTTCAGCCAGAAGTGCCGAGTGGATGATCCATCTTGGATTCCTCAGTGGTCCCCAGTCTCTCAGATACCAGTCTTCAACCAATTTGATTCACTCCACATGATATCAAGAAACAGTTGGAGACACTGGATACCACAAAGGCTACAGGCCCTGACAACATTCCAACAGAGTACTGAAGACTTGCTCCAGAACTTGCCACTTTCCTAGCCAAGCTGTTCCAATACAGTAATTATTTGTCATATCTTGTTAAGATTCCATATAGTGTCCTAGGCCCAGCCATCTTCAGCTGCTTCATCAATGATCTTCCCTCCATCCTAAGGTCAGAAGTAAGGATGAGTGCATAATGTTCAGCACCATTCGCGACTCCTCAAGTACTAAAGCAGTCCATGTTCAAATGCAACAAGATCTGGACAACATCCAGGCTTCAGCTGACAAGTAGCAAGTAACATTCACAGCAAACAAACATCAAGCTACGACCATCACCAATAAGAGATAATCTAACCACCGCCCCTTGACATTCAACAGTGTTACTATCACTGAATCCCCCACTATCAACATCCTGGGGGTATCATTGACCAGAAAATCAACTGGCCTCACCACATAAACAGTGGTTACAAGAGCTGGTCAGAGGCTAGGAATACCTGCAACAAGTAACTCACCTCCTGACTCCCCAAAGCCCATTCACCATCTACAAGGCACAAGTCAGGAGTGTGATGGAATACTCCCCACTTGCCTGGATGAGTGCAGCCCCAACAACTCTCGAGAAGCTTGACACCATCCAGAATAAAGCAGCCCACTTGATTGGTACTACATCCACAAGCATCCACTCCATCCACCATCAATAATCAGTAGCAGCAGTATGGACTGTCTGCAAGACACACTGCAGAAATTCACCAAAGATCCTCAGACAGCACCTTGCAGATGCTCAACCACTTCCACCTAGAAGGACAAGGGCAGCAAATAAATGGGAACACCACCACCTACAAGTTCCCCTCCAAGCCACTCATCATCCTGACTCGGAAATATGTCGTCGTGCCTTCAATATCACTGGGTCAAAATCCTGGAATTCCCTCCCAAATGACATTGTGGGTCAACCCATAACCTTCTCAAGGGCAACTAGGGATGGGCAATAAATGCTGGCCCAGCCAGTGACAGCCACATTCCACAAATGAATAATTTTTTTTTTGAAATGTTGGCAAAGTTTAAGCAGCATTTTAGACAGACATATGAACAGACAGGGAAGAGAGTTGTATGGACCATGTGCAGGCAGATGGGGTTAGTTTAGAATGGCAACATGGTTAGCACAGATATGATGTGCAGAATCCAATTTGACAGTGAATTCTGTTCCTGTACTGTACTGATCTAGTTTCGCTGGAGATTTGTAGAGGAAGACTTCCAAAAAAAATCAGTGCCTATAGTGATCTTGCAATGACCTTTATTAAACATTCCAGCTAATTCCACAAATCATGAAATAAATTTACTTTGTCACAAACCTTAAGTCTTTCAAAACATAGTAAATACAAAACATGCACTCTGCATGCATTGTTATCATCAGAAACCAAGCAAGATACGAGGCTATATGCCAGTGACATTACAGATTGTAGAGATTACTTAAGTAAACTTGCTAGTCACAGATCATCTTTTATCACCCACATTTCATTTATTCCTTAAATGAGTCTGTTTGTCTTTCTGTCTGTGAGAGAGTGGGAGCTAAAATTAAGAAGGATTGGGATTAGATTTTACACATTAATTGGATTACCTTCATGTTTAATTTTGCTTTGCTAAAGTGCTTGCATTGTTAATAACCTGTTAAGTCTTTTGTTTGAGCTATAAACCCAATGTCTAGTGTTAATTATTCACAAAGTCTGGTACAATTTATTCAAAAAGTTTGGTTAGGAACTATTGGGGATTGGGGAATCATTGAGAATTTTAATTTTGCCGTGTTGCGAATTATAGTTTGGCTGTGTCCGTACCATAATTTGTTTAATTGTTTCACCATCCCTTATTGGAACTTCATCTGTTGTTTTCGTTGTTAGATTAATACATATTCAACTTCACAGTTCAAATCTGTTTCCCATTATGCTGCAGATAGCCCAGTTTTGCTAGGCCCCTTGATGCCATTCCTTCACCTCACTTTCTGGTCAGCTTATTTGTCTATGCTTGGCTCATGGCTATAATGAGATCAGGAGCCAACTGAGTCATACAGCTATACAGCACAGAAGTGGTCCCTTAGGTCCAACTCTTCCACACTGACCAGATACCCTAAACTGATCTAGTCCCATTCGTCAGCATTTGGCCCACATCCCTCTAAATCCTCCCTTTTCACGATTGGGCCTGTTGTAATCCAAATTGAACATTGATGGGCAAGTTACTTGTGCTATTGCTGCATAGCACATTTGACAACACGTTATCACCTTGCCAATGATTGAGAGTAGACTGATGAGACAATGATTGGTCAGACTGGATTTGTCCTGATAGAGTTTGATAAGACAATTACAAGAG